CCACTTCACAGCTGAAAAAGCTGGAAACTAGTTCTGTTACATTGTTCTCAATGCTGCTACTGCATTACACCTTCCTTGGTTATATTTACTCCTTACACTTTTTTGTATCCTTGTCCAATATAGTCCTGTGGCCTTGTATCATGGAAGAAGTGCATTGTTTGCTCCTAGTTTGGAGGGCTGGGTTGTTTCTCTTTTTAGGGTTTTAAAGCCAATTTTGTAAGTGGTGCTGCCCTGAGTAAGAAGCGGTGGCTTCCGAGTTGTCCATTTTGATGACTACAGGCAGGTTCTGGGACTTGCTATGCAGAGGACTTGCATACGAAGGATTCTAATTTAAGTACTCCAGGGACGTTTTTCTGAAATCCTGAATATCTTGTATTGTCTATCAGTGAAAGAATTTAAGCCAGCTAAATTGCCCTGACAAGTGACTGCTAGAGGCCACGAATCAGAAGGGAGGTATTTCATCCCACTAAAGAATTTTAAGTGGTGCATCACAGATGCAGTCTGGCTAGAGAAGCTGATCTTGTGTAGGTGAAAGGGAGTATGTAGCTGCAGCATTGGTGAGCATTGTGGTGCTAATCTGAGTGGAAAGTGGCTGAAATATGTACCTTTGCCAGAAGTAGTGCCTTCGCACTATTCTGCTCTTAGGCACTTGAATGTATCTAAAAAAAAAAAAATCTTTTCCCTCCATCTTTAGTTCTTCCGTTCTAACTAAAAAGATAATTCAGTAGGAAAATGTATTTAGGTTGCATCAGGGGTATGTGTAACAATCTGAATTGATGCTGAATAAGCTAATGAAATTATTTTGTTTCCTAATAGTGAGTGGTTTACTTTGCAAGCAATAACTTACATAGCTAAAGGAAATAGAAAAACTTACCATGTGATACCATGACATTGCACATCTTCCTACCTTCTCTGAAGACTACAGATTTTCTCTTCTTCGTTCTTTCTCTGTATCTCACTGATCCTTGAACATTGAGGGTTTTTAGGGGAAGCTTGGGATTAGCAACAGCAAATATTGTAGTAGTTAGGGCATTCTCCTTAAAGAAGGGAGAGTGGACTCAAGCTGCCTCAGGCTGAGGAGGGATTCGAGCCACTGCCTCAAGGACTCTGTTGAGATGCAAAAGCCATACTCTCTCTTGCTTCCTTCCAGCAGATGCCTATCTGCAAAAGAGTCCTTTGCCAATACTTTCTTTGGCTGGATCAAGGTGGTTTCCTGATCAGGAACACTGAGGCACCTTATAGATGATAGAGAAGCAGACCTCTTCTTAAACCCTTCACTTCAGAGCTGCCTGTTTCTCTCCATTTTCTGTACAGAGTTGGAAAACTCCTCTGACTGTACACGGTATTATTTATTAGCCTGGGTCAGGTACCTACTTTCAGTGTTGCAGCCTTTTAGTTACTGTCTAAATTAAGTGATCTGAAATGTCTCAAAAATGTCTTAGTACACAACATGTAAGCATTGTTATCTGCCTTCTGGAGATGGAATATTGTTAAGTTTTACCAAAAAGCTTTATAGTCTGTGCTTATCACTTGCCACTAGTGACTTTCAGGGGCTATAGTGCCTTCTGTATTCGTGGATTTCCACAAGGAAAGCAAAGAAAAATCATTTAATCCTGGGACAACCACTCTGACAGGACATGACTGAATTGGTTTTGAAGCTTTTTTTTTTGTAAATGCCAAAACAGTATTTCTTATTTGTGCATCACTTCAGTAATATAAAAATACTCTGGTTTTAAGTAGTTACTATGTACACACATTATAAAAAACTTCCTACAAAACATGTATTGCTGTGCTTTTTCTGATATTTCTACTTCATCTTCTTCCTGAGATTAATTTGCAACAAAGTAAAAGAAACCATCTCTAGGTTATATGATAGGTAACATGTAACTCAGTTCTATCATGACTTTAAAAGGAAAAAAAAAGTCAGCGAGGTGACTGGAAAATTTGAACTACTTGGTTTTGTGGAAATCCTGGGGTTTTTTACTATGTTACTGAATATTGCAAAATGGATATTGAGAGTAATGATATTATCAGGCCTGGACCCCGTGCAGTACAGATGAACAGAGTTATTTGTCCTAATTTTTATAGGCCTGGTCCAATGACATAGAATGACATTAATCTTCTTTGTAATTAAGTCATTTAAATGTTACACCACTCATTTAAATATATGTTGTGTTTAGCAACTTGTACGCTTTTATAGAGGCTTCTCATCAGTCTAAAAAGACTTTTTGTTTTCATAGAATATGGGGTGGGAAAGAAGAGGACAGCACTTGGTGTGTCAAGACACATACAAAATAAGCTACAACTCCTAAGACTATGAACAGTAATAGAAGGAAAAATATTATATAAATCTATTATAACTATAAACCAGGTGGATGAAGCTTTCATGATAGCTAGCAAATCATCCAGAACCCAGATCACAGTGGTAGTGGTCAATATGAATTAGACAGCTGTTGAGAAAACAAGAATATTTTCCAATAATTTTTTTAGCATATTTGCTGTTGACAACTTTTTGCTACATAAAGCAGAGGAGCCATTTATAGGAGAGAGACTCTGTATGTGATTCAAAATGGGGAAGTTATTGAAAACATGAAAGTTGAGGAAAGTTTGGGTAAATGGGACTTAAGTGAGAGTTTATGGTCCCTAGTAACAAAAGGAGTGAAGAATGCTACAGTAAAAACAATGGATTTTTGTGAAAGAAGGCTACAGTAAATACAGAATTGGTAGATAAGATCTCTTTAGTCAAGCCTCAAGGGGAAAAGGAATTAAAGAGAAGTGATGCTTTGTCAGAGATAATACTAAAGCACAAACAATGCTAATGCAGAGATTTAGACTTTAATTAAACTGTAAATTCTTTGTTGACCTCTGAGACTTTCTCAGTTTGCTGAGGAGCAGAATAAAAGATTTGTGTGAGAAAGGCACAAAGTTGGGTTGGGAGCAGGGAATGGGGATGCCCAGATTAACTGCATTTCATTTTTAAGCAAGAGGCATCAAGTTAGTACGCACATGGACACACATCCAAAAATGTTCTGTCACACAGTAAAAGAAGAGCCAAAGAAAGTGTTTATCATTTATAAGCCTTTCCTCCAAAGACAAGAAATGATACTGAGGTTCTAAAGCTTTTAATCTATTTTTGTGCAAGTTTTTGCTAAGAAGAGTCAGCTGTGTATAGGTGGCTAGCACAGTACTAATGCCGAAACAGCAATCTGCCATCTGTCTGTGTATGCGTATCATTTTTTTCTGAAAATTAAATTATGAAATATAATGTCACCAACTTCGTGGCCAATTTATGGAATACAGTAGATAGATTTTAATTTGAAAGTGTTAAATATATATAATTGGGAGTTATTAATATTAAAAATATTTAGATGTTCCCAAATTTCTCAGAATAAAAACTTGGTTTCTGAGGTCTCTTCTTTTGGAATTTATGCTCTTGACAACCTGACTGGTAACGTTTCCGCCCAATAAATACCTGCTTTGGTTGGAAATACCAGAAGTTTATTTTTAAATGACGTGCTGCATTCTTCTGAACTGTCTGCAATAAAACCAGAAACCAGCAATTGTTTATGCTTAATTTAGTGTGATAATGTGTATGCTATGCCATTTAGAGAACCAAGCTTTACATATTTAATCAAGAATTGGTACAGAATATGATACCATATGTAGATAACGTAACTAATGTATAACGCTTTATTTTAGGCAAACATAATTGTCTGCTTCTGCAGGAAGAATTATTACTAGCATAAAGTCAACAGAATATTCAAGGATGATTCTTGCTAGTCTAATTTAGGCTGTGCTGGCATAGATACGCGGTTATAATACAAACGTCTTCAGACAGCTGTCAAATCGTTTTGGTTATCAAACAAATAAGATTTTACCTATATTATAAATAGAAATCACACTACAACTGGGGCAGCTGAATGAAAGACCCAGTAATGGTACCTTTACTTCTAGATTCTGCTCTCTTCCCTGCAGCTCTTGGGCAGCACAGTGGTTTGTTCTGTAATATAGACAGTTGAGGGGGGGGATAAAATGCCAATTAGAGAAGGCAGTGATATTTTTGAGCACTGAATGTGGATTTCACTGTGGTAGGTCCGTGTGAGAATGCCAGAGTATGGTATAAAAACAGTATAAGGTCACTGCCTACTTTTTTTTCCCCCTAACCATTATTTGGAGCATATTTCAGATGCTCTTCTCATCTCAAGGCTCTGAAATAAATTTTCATTTTTTGGGTTTTTTTTTAGTTCATTTCATGACAGTTAATGTCAGTTGCTTTAGCTGGTTCCCATCATTTGAATCAAAGGATCAAAGTACTTGCATCCTCCGGGACAAGTATAAATAAAAAGAATTGAAATATTCTTAGAAAATACTCTTGTCATACTGGGAATCATTTGCTAACTTTGCTTTTCCAAGAGATGAATCTGAGTGAGAAAAAGCTGGTGCCAACTCAGCCTTCTGAGGAACTCAGAAATATTGTTAGAGACTTAAGTAAATTATTCTTAGCAAAACAAAATTACTTCAGGAATATTACATGTATTATATGTGTGACATATTATATGTAGTCCAGCTCTTTCAGGAAATCACAGTATGAAGAATACAACTTTATGAGTATGTTTTAGGAAGCTCAACATCTTAAGCATGATCTGTGTAAAATTCATATGGCTTATAGCTGGGCGAGATGGATATGCCTTAACTGTGTTGACACCAAGCTGTGATCACTGTAGGAAAAAAAAACTTGCGACTAATAAAGAAGAGTGACACTTTCATTAAGTTTCATTTTAACCCAGTTTTTTCTTGGAATTAATTTTGACTCAAACTTTCTGTTTTAGATGATAGAAATCTCAGCTTTCTCCATACCAATATTTCCTGCTTTTCGTTCTGTTAAATGTTAAACTCTGTAACACCAATTAATTCTACCGTAAATTAAGTATAAGTAAATGTTTAATCTTTCTGTGAACTTTGAATGGTATACTAGTGGTTTCTCTTTTTCTTTGAATTAGATGGAGAGCAGAAGACTCAAGTGATGATTCATGGAATTGAGCCAATGCTGGAAACACCCATACAGTGGCTAAGCGAACATATGAGCTATCCAGATAATTTTCTCCACATTAGTATCATTCCCCGACCTACTGATTGAAACTCAGCTATATTGGTATGAGGATCATTCTCAAGCTGGAATTATAAGGGCATGTCAACTTCTTGCTTCTGTCAATCTTGACAGAGGCAGCCTGACCAGAAAAAAAAAAAAAAAAGAAAAAAAAAACAACAAAAAACAGAAACAAAAAAAAAAAGCCTCCCT